TGCTGACTGCTCTCTCTGAATGCTCACTGCGGAGGCTGACAGCAGATTTCCCTGTCGCGTGCATTTTCTCGGTGAACACCTGATGTAGATATCTTGGACAAGTGGACTCCCCAGAGAAACTGGGAGTGGGAGGGGTCTCAGCACTCAGCGTGCACACATGCACTTAAACGAAGCCTCACCTTCAACCATATCTGCTACTCTCCAGTTCAGAGACCCTCAAATCTTTGTTGAATCAAGATATTTATGTACATAGCAGGACCAGCAGGTGGCATGGTGGTTAAGGTGCTGGACACTCCCACATGGCCAACCACAGTTCAAGTCCTGGACCTGGCGGCTTCCTTTATCCCTCTCTCTCTCTCTCTCTCTCTCTGTCTCTCTCTCTCTCTCTCTCGTGTGTGTGTGTGTGTGTGTGTGTGTGTGTGTGTGTGTGTATCTCTCTCTGATCAAATTTAAAGAATGAATGAATAAATAAAATTAAATAAATAATAATTTTTTAAAAGATATTTATGTACATAGCAAAATACAGAAATCTTAGTTATACGGTATTTTTTTTTAAGAGAGAGATATTTTTTTCTGACTGCCAGAGAGACAGACACAGAGAGACAGAAAGCAAGAAATCATCTCCCAGGGGGGCTGGCCATACTGCAATCCCTTCTCCTCCATTCTTCTCTCAGGATTTGGGGCAAGCGGGTACACATGCCCAGCATGAGTTTTAAGCCACCAGGTCTAGGACTCGAACCACAGTTGACTATGTGAGAGTCCTGGGACATAACCATTTCACCATCTGCTGGCCCCAGGTATAATAAATTTTTACATTTGTATACAACCATATAACCCTGCCCCATATAGAACATTCTAGCCCTTTCCAGGTCCCTGGCATTTCTTCCAGACAATATAGTCTCAGGGGTAACCACTATTCTAACTTCTATTGTCATATATTAGTTTTACCTGTTCTGGATTTTAATATAAATGGAATCCTACAATCAATATGTTCTTTTTTTTTTTTTTTTTTTGGATAGGTTTTTGCTATAGGGCGCGTGCGCTCACCAGACAGAGAGACAGAAAGTGAGAAATCACCCCCCAGGGGAGATGGCCACGCTGCAATCCCTTCTCTCCATTCTACTCTCAGGATCTTGGGCACACATGCACATGTGCCTGGCGTGAGTTTAAGCCTCTGGGTCCAGGACTCGAACCTCGGTGGACTACATGGGAGTCCAGCGAAATAGCCATTAGCCAACTGCTGGTCCCTAGTGTGTTCTTTTTTATGTCAGATTTCTTTCACTTAGAATAATGTCTATGAGAGGGCCCAGCAGGTGGCATGGTGGTTAAGGTGTTAGACACTCCCACATGGCTGATCACAGTTTGAGTCCTGGTCCGGGCAGCTTGCTTTCTCTCTTTCTGTGTGTGTGGGTGTGTGTGTGTGTGTGTGTCTGGTCAAATTAAAATAAAATGAATGAATAAATAAAATTAAATAAAAATAATTCTTTAAAAAAAAAAAGAAGAATGTCTATGAGATTCATCCATATTGTTGCATATTTTAGTAGCTTCCCCCCCTTCATTGCTGATTCCATTGTGTTGATAAACCATACTTTATCTATTCTACTAATGAAGGACATTTAGATTGTTTCTCGTTTGTGACTCTTATGAGTAAAGCTGCTATTAACATCCTTTTGGGTATCATTTAATGAACATATACACTTATTCCTCTTGGGAGTGAATATATCTAGGAGTAGAATTGCTGTGTGGTAAGGTATCAGTACCTTCATTTTATTAGCTAGTGCCAGCTTTCCAATTCACATTCCTATTAGGAGCATATGCAAATTCCAGTTGTTTCACATCTTCCTCGATAATTGGTATTATAAGTCTTTCTGATTTTATCATTCTTTATCTTGCTGTGATTTTAATTTGCATTGCCTTGCCTGTTACTAATGTTGAGTGTCTTTTTGTGTATTTATTGGCCCCTTGGATTTTTTCACTGTGCCCGTGGGGCGGTGGTGGGTGTGTGCTGTTCATAGTGATTTGAGAGCTTTAATGTGTTCTGGCTGCATGTCTTTGGTGGGATATATTGATACATAGTTTAGATATCTTCTCCCAGTCTGTGATATTGTTTTTCACTCTCAATGGTAATGAACAATTCCTCATTTTAGTTAAGACCAATGTATCTCAATGTATGTTTCTTTTGTGGGCATAGCTTTTGGTGTCCTGTTTAAGAAATTTTTGTCTGTCCCAACAGAGCCCCTCTGTTTTCTACTGGGGAGTGGAGGAGAATATCTGGGAAATCTGCTTCTTTTTTTTTTTTGGAGAGGTTTTTGCTATAGGGCACGTGCACTCGCCAGACAGACAGAGAGAGACAGAGAGACAGAAAGCGAGAAATCACCCCCCAGAGGGTATGGTCATGCCGCAATTTCTTCTCCTCCATTCTCCTCTCGGGATCTTGGGCATGCATGCACATGCACCCGGCATGAGTTTTAAGCCACCAGGTCCAGGACGCGAACCGTGGTCGACTACGTGGGAGTCCAGCGACATAGCCATTACGCTAACTGCTGGTTCCCGGAAATCTGCTTCTTAAAAAGCTTCCACCTGGGGCCAGCAGGTAGCACGGTGGTTAAGACGTCAGACTCCCACATGGCCGGTCATGGTTCATGTCCCAAACCTAGTGGCTTTCTTTCTCACTTACCCTCTCTCTGTCTCTCTGCTTTTCTCTGGTGAATTAAAAAATAATAATAAATAAATAAATAAGATTAAATAATTATAAAATATAATAAACGTCCACCTATGGGGCAGCCTTTGGTGTGGTGGTTCAGACTGGCTTCCACATGACCAGCTACACAAAGTCCCAGACACAGTGGCTTGAAAAAAATCCTGGGTGTATGTACATGTGTGCTCAAAATTCAAAAAGAGGGAGAAATGGGGGGCAGGCGGATGGTGTGGTGGTTAAGGTGCTGGACTCTCACATGGTCAACCACGGTTCAAGTCCTTGACAAGAAGGCTTGCTCTCTCACTTTTTCTTCTTCTCCCTGTCTCTCTCTGTTCAAATTTTTAAAATAATAACAACAAATGTAAATAAATAATTCTTTATTTTTAAAAAAAAAAAGAGGAGGAAATGGAAGAGAAGGGATTGCAGCTTGACTCCCCCCCAAACACACACACAGTTTTTACATCAACAAAAAAGAAGACAATCACTCCCTATAACACCCTGGCTATGATTCTAGTGCATAAGAAAGCATTCCGAAACTTGGTTATGTAAAACCCATTTCATTACGCTCTGAAATCCCGTGAGTTAGGAATTCAGACAGGACCCAGCAGGGGTGGCACGGTTCTGCTCCATGGTGTATGGGGCCTCAGCTGGCAACAGTTAAAGGCTGGTGGGCGGTGTGGGGGCGGCAGTAACCTGATACCTGGGCCTGGAATCATCTAAGGGCATCTTCACCAAGGTGTCCTGAAGCTAATGCTGGCTGTCAGCTGGGAACTCAGGGCTGTTAACCAGAGCACCCATGCGCTCTTGTCATGTAGCTTAGGCTTCCTCACAACATCGTGGCTGGCTTCCAAGAATGAGAGTCCCTGGAGAAGCAGGCAATGTCGTATCACTCTTTAGGACTTAGTCCCAGAAGTCACATAGCATCACTTCTGCCATTGTCATAAGCCCAGACTGATGAGAAGAGAACTTTGACCCTGCCTCTCAATAGAGTATTAAAATCTCATTGAAAGAAAAGCATGGTGGACTACCCTGTGGGCTGGTGGTTAAGACAGCTGGATCTCACATGGCCGATCATGCAGTTTGAGTCGTGGACTCAGCAGCTTGCAAAGTACACTGAGTGTGTGTGCATGTGCATGTGCATGCATACTCAGAATCCCAGAAGAGGAAGAGATGGTGGCGAAGAGATTGTAGTGTGACCATGTCCCATGAAGGGTATTCTCTCTCTCTCTCTCTCACCCCCCCCCCCGTCTCTCTCTGACAAGCACATGTATCCTCTGGCAAATTATTAAAAAAGAGAGAAAGAGAAGGAAAGGAAAGGACGAAGGAAGGAGGAGAAGCAAAGCATGAAATGGGAGACCCTGCTATAGCCATTTCTGGAAAACAGAATCTTCCCCAACTGGGGGCTGGCAGGTGGCGTGATGGTTAGGGGTGCTGGATTCCCACATGGCTGACCATGGTTCATGGTTCTGGTCTCGGACCTGGTGGCTTCCTTTCTCTCTCTCTCTCTCTCTCTCTCTCTCTCTTTCTCTCTGTGTGTGTGTGTGTGTGCCTGGTCAAATTCAAAATATAATGATAAATAAAATAAAGGAAATAATTAAAAAAAAAAAATTCCCCCAACTGTGAAGAGTCTAAGAACAGTGGGTGTTTACTGAGCACCCGCAGTGCTGAGCACCGTGCAGTCTGTCTGCAGGAGATGCAGCCTGAACTCTGGAAACAAATCATCGTCGGCTCTGTTTCTTAGCGATTGTGTGACCTCGGACAAGTTACCTCTTTGTGCCTCGGTAGTGCCATCTTTAGAATGAGGAGGACATAGTGCTGCCTCCTAGGGGCGCCATGAGGAGACGTGTAAACAGACAGGAGCTGAGAACAGACCCGGCACACAGGGCTCTGAGGACCTTCTCTCTAATCACTGTCGTGGGACGTAGGCGGAATTGTTGTCCCATCTTACAGACAAGGAAGTCGAGACTCAGAGGGACAGTTAAGTTGCCCAAGTCCTAAAAGCAGTAACGTCTGCCTGATCCAGAGCCCCTGCCCTTCCCCCACTGAGACGCTGGGAACCCTGTGTGACATCTGGTCATGGCAGACTTGAAAGTACCAAGTACCTCCAGTGTGTGGCAGCGGGTGGCCCTGTGTCACCTGTAGACAGTCCTGTGCAGGCCAGTCAGGGGCTCCCACAGGGCAGGGTTAGCTGAGAGAGAGGAGAAGGTGTCCCACAGCCACCTGCCACCTGGTGGGGACTCACCTGCGGGCTCGCAGGCTGTAAGGACACGCTGTGTACCACTTGTGTTTTCTGCCTCCTCAGCAAAAAATGACCCAGAAAATAATGAAGATGATCCAAGGAGACTACATCGAAAAGCCAGACTTCGCCCTGAAGTCTATAGGTGAGTGAGTCCCCTGCCGGCCCTCAGAGTCCTCAGGACTTTCCATGAGGACGTCTGTCGAGGTGTGGTCGCCCTCTGCTTCTGGGAAGTCCGTCCTCAGAGCTAACCTCACCTCCCGGCTGGTTTTCTTGCCACTCTCATGTTTTCGCAACAGGGACAGGGGTAGGGTGCGGGAACCCCCAGGCCCTCGAGACTGCCCTCGCCTCTCCACCGCCCCCGCCCACTCACTGTTCTCCAAACCTGGTACTGGGCGCAGGGAGGTCAGCCAGTGAGAGCGGTCCTGCCCCTGGGGTCAGCGGGACTCACTACATCGCAAATCAGCACAGGCTGAAGCAGTGCTTCGGGATGACAGCAGGTGGTTGGGAGAGACAGGATCTGGGAAAAGGTGACCTCTTAGGGCGACGACACTGGGGTGAGACCCGGTGAGGAAGGAGAAGCATTTCAGACCAGGGGACAGCGTGGAAGATGCTGACAAGGAGGCCAGCAGCACAGGAATGGCAGAGCAGGCTAGGCCACAGGAGGGCCCCCACCAGGCAGCACGACTGGCCCAACACCCCCAGGGTCCATGCCGTATGGTCAGAGGGCATGAGCCCCAGGGCTGCACAAGCTTGGACCTCGCTCCCCCTCTCAGAGCTGGAGGCTCCTCGTCTGTTCACTGGGGAGAAGAGCAGAGTAACAAGGCTAATATAGGAGAGGACTTCAAAACATTTGTGGAAAATGGAATTAAAGTACAATTTATTTTGGTACCAAAAAATGGGGCAAACTGCAGTTTTTTTCATAATATGTATTTTCCATGAACTTTTTTTCTTTATTCATGATCAAGCACACGTGTGCGCAGGTCAGGGGGAGGAGCACCCTCCGCAGGGCCTGGTCATGCCATGATCCCCTCCTCCAGCCCTCTAACCCCTCAGATCTTGGGCTCACACACACATGCCTGATATGTTTTAGGGTGGCCAGGCCCAGGATTTGAACCGTGGTTGCCATGTAGGGTCCAGCTTCTCCTGAACAGTGCGTTACCGCGGTGCCAGGAGCCAGCCCTTTTTCATAAACTTCTGGACGCTCTCTCGCACAGTGAGTGCATGCTCTATGACAAGCGCTTCCAGAGAAGCACTGGAGTGTAACTCACTTCACCCTCACAAGCACCCTGTCAGGAGGACGCTGTTGTCCCTGTTACTGCTGCTTCTGCTGCTACCGTTATTCCTCCCATTGCCCAGAGAACGCTGGGTCTCAGAGAGGGTCAGTGCTCCCACGGCACTCAGTGAGTGCCCGGTCAGTGGGGGTCCTCCCGCCAGACAAGGGCCAGGCTGCCAGGCTGATACCCCCACCTGCCTCCCGTAGGGGCCAGCATCGACTTTGAGCACACGTCAGCCACGTACAACCACGACAAGGCTCGCTCCTACTGGAACTGGATCCGGCTGTGGAACTACGCCCAGCCCCCCGATGTGATCCTTGAGGCACGGGCAATGGCAGGGGGCTGGGGAGGGCAGGGGCAGGGATGTGGTCAGCGCCAGACTCTGGGGCAGCAGTAGGCAGCAGAGGTAGGGGAGCAGGAGTGAAGAGGGTGGGAGCCTGGAGTGGTGTTAGGGGTCGGGGCAGGAAACAGAGCTGGACCACGGCAGTGGACAGAGGGACAGGGCGATTGGCAGGGTCGGGGCTGGGCAGGGGCAGGAGGGAGGACAGAGAACAGGAGCATGGGGGCCTGGGGTAGGAGCGGGCACGAGGTCAGCTTGCTTTGGCACTGGGAGGGGACCCACACTCAGCCCTTCAGACCGGAGGGCCAAGGACCCCTTAGGACCACCCTGGGAGGAGCCCGTAATCTACCCATTTTGCAGAGGAGACTGAATCTTAAAGAGCCAGGTCCCTTGCCTGCAGCCACACAGCTGGTCACTGGGATGTGGCAGAGGCAGAATTCAAACCTGCCTCACGGATGAGGCCCAGCAAGGGAAATGGGCTTGCCAGGTCACAGAACAAATGACCTCATTCAGCAAACACCGGCTGCAGGGTTCGTCCTAGTGGCCAACGCTGGGCAATGCCAAAGCCACAGGTGACGCATCCAGGGGCCCCACCCTCGACGGACTCTGAGATCTAAGCGCTGGGGTTGGCCCTGGACAATGACCTTGTCCAGCCGGCGTGGGGAGGCCTCCTGGAGCAGGTAGCTAAAGACGAGCAGGAACCAGGGCCCACCAGCAAAGGGAACCGCAGGGGACAGGCCAGGCGGTTGTGCAGGGATACACAGTGGATGCCGGGCAAGGTGAGCGGGTGGCAGGCCCAGGCCAGGGAGGAGCCAGCCCTGGAGCAACCAGAGCAGGCCCAGCGGACTCTGCACTTCAGGCCTCCGGGCTCCAGCCCAACCGAGCTCCCTTCAGGCCCCAGGTCATCAGGCCTCTTACCACTGGGCCTTCCACATGCTGTCCCTTGGCTCACTGTTCCAGTCAGCTCTGTAGCCCCTTGGTCCCAGCTCGTCCAGGAAGTCAGCCCTGATCCCTCCAGCCCTCTGCACATCCTGTCCTAGCATCTATTGTTCCAGATAAGGACCAGCCATGCTGTGTCTTCAAGAAATGCAGAACCCGCGTGCGTGTGCGTGCGTGCCCAAGATACCGAGAGGAGAATGGAGGAGAAGGGATTGCAGCGTGGCCATCCCCCCTGGGGGGTGATTTTTCGCTTTCTATCTCTCCGTCTCTATCTGTCTGGCGAGCACACATGCCCTATAGCAAGCAATGCAGAACCTGCTGAATCAATGCCTTTGCT